CTGAGCCTTCAGAACTGGGTGGAGGCAGGAAGCCACTGAAGAATGAAAGGAACATATTTTGCTCCTTGAGGGAGACTAGAGCATCTTGGGGTGCTGTGATAAACGTGGGCAGAGGGAACAATTCAATCATCCCCCTTCCTGGCTCTTTGGTATTGATGTTCTGTGCAGTGGCCTTAGAATATGCCGGCCTCTCTTCCAGCCTGGTGGGTAGAGTGTACGTCAACATGGAGGACTTACCTGGGCCCAGGTACAGTGGCCCCTGGGGTCTCAAAGAACCAGACTCATGTCTCAGATGTCTTGGCAAGTCACACTGATCAACGTCAATTTTTTTTTGATGATGATGACAAAATTCTTTTATTAGCAGACTAGACACCCAGTGCATGAATTCGTGCATGGGTGAGGTCCCTCAACTTGGCCAGCAACCAGGGCTGATTGGGGCCATCTCCCCCAGTCCTGATCAGGGTGATCAGGGGCGGCTGGCAAGGGGAGGGACAGTGGGAGGTTGGCTGGCTGTGGTAGTGCACTGACCACCAGGGGTCAGCTCCTGCATTGAGTGGTCAGTGCGTGTCATAGCGACCAGTCGTTCAGTTGCTTATGCTTATATATATATATAAACAGAGTCAACCAGTTAGAAATTGGTGATGAATGAATGAACATGTTTTCAGGCCTGAACATTTCTTGTAGTTGTCTGCAGTGGTAGTTTAAAGAATCATTTAAAATAGCACTTTCTTATCCAAAGCACTAATTATAAAGAATATATGCACCCCTATGTTCATTGCAGCATTATTTACAATAGTCAAGGTATGGAAGCCACCCAAGTGCCCATCAATAAACAAGTGGATAATAAAGTTGTGATACATATAAACAATGGATTATTACTTGGCCATAAAAAAATAAAGAAATGTTACCATCTGTGACAGCATGGAGGGACCTAGAGGGTGTTATGCTAAGTCAAATAAGTCAGACAAAGACGAAGACTATATCATTTCACTTATATGTGGAATCTGAAGAACAAAGTAAACAGATAAAATAGAAATAGACTCATAGATACAGAGACCCAACTGGTGATTGCCAGAGAGTTGGGGTTTG